CTGACCTGTCTCTGTCATTTCAGACTGATCCTGATACTTGCTGAAGATGGGTGGGAGAAATATTTTGTGCTTAATGCGCTGGGTGGTTTTGGGAGTTTGGTCTGATTTCTCCTCAGACTGAAGCGCAACCTTTTTGGTCAAGGTGGGAGTCTTGGTGGGCACAGCTTTAGTGGCAGACTCCAGTCTGAAAGTTTTTGTCAGACCTGTCTTTGTCTTTTCAGACTGCTCCTCAGACTTGCTGGAGATGGCTGGGAGAAGTACTTTGCGCTTAATGCGCTGGGTGGTTGTGGGAGTTTGGTCTGATTTCTCCTCAGACTGAAGCGCAAGCTTTCTGGTCAAGGTGGGAGGCTTGGTGTGCATGGCTCTCGTGGCAGACTCCAGTCTGAAAGTTTTTGGCTGACCTGTCTTTGTCTTTTCAGACTCCTCCTGAGACTTGCTGGAGATGGGTGGGAGAAGTACTTTGCGCTTAATGCGCTGGGTGGTTGTGGGAGTTTGGTCTGATTTCTCCTCAGACTGCAGCGCAAACTTTCTGGTCAAGGTGGGAGGCTTGGTGTGCATGGCTCTCGTGGCAGACTCCAGTCTGAAAGTTTTTGGCTGACCTGTCTTTGTCTTTTCAGACTCCTCCTGACACTTGCTGAAGATGGGTGGGAGAAGTGATTTGCGCGTCATAATACAATGGGTGGTTTTGGGAGTTTGGTGTGATTTCTCCTCAGACTGAAGCGCAAACTTTCTGGTCAAGGTGGGAGTCTTGGTGTGCATGGCTCTAGTGGCAGACTCCAGTCTGAAAGTTTTTGTCTGACCTGTCTTTGTCTTTTCAGACTGCATCTGAGACTTGCTGGAGATGGGTGGGAGAGGTGATTTGCGCTTCATAATGCAATTGGTGGTTTGGGGAGTTTGGTCAGATTTCTCCTCAGATTGAAACGCAACCATTTCGGTCAAGGTGGGAGTCTTGGTACGCACAGCTTTAGCATCAGACTCCAGTTTGAAAGTTTCTGTCTGACCTGTCTTTGTCTTGTCAGACTGCATCTGAGAGTTGCTGGAGATGGATGGGAGATGGGTATGACTTGATTTGCCTTTGACATAAGAACGGAGCTCTGTGGTTGTGGGAGTTAGGATTGTTTTCTGTTCAGGCGTCAACATAACCATTTTTCCGAAGATGGAAACCTCAGTTTGGGCAGATTCAGCTTCAGATATGGAAGCTAAGTCTGTTGAGTCTTGTTGGAGTTCACAGGAGGTGACTGAGAGGCAGATATTTGATTTGGTGCTTTGCACCTGGGTCTGGTCGTGTTTCTTCTGAGTGCTTGGCTGCTTTTGTACCACTTTGGGCTTGACTTGGAGCTGGGTGTCAGCAGATTTGTCCACTCCAGTCTTCGTCAAGGCCTCCATGTTCTTCATTTTGTTTTTCAGGTACAACTTTTTGGTGTCTGCCACCTTGCCAACCAATACCTCATTCTCTTTCTTGTACTCTTCATATTTTATTTGGAGCATGTTTACCTGGGCTATTAAAGCCTTGATTTTATTACTTTGCTCTCTGATTATCCACTTATACCTCGGGATCTCGTCTGATCTGTCTGGAAGCACCTGCTGTGACATACTTTTCTTCAGCTCCTCATACTGCTTCTCCTTTTCAGCTATTATGCGATCCTTACTCCTCAACAGTCTGTCCTTTTGGTTCAGCTTTTTGGTTTTGGTCTCCAGACTATCTCTGAGGTCTGGATCCTCCATGCACCCCTTGACTACATTTTGCTTCTTGTCGACGATGATATTTAAAACTATAGGCTTATCTTTTGAAAGACAGTCTTCTTTGGCTTTGATTGCCTGTTCCAGTTGTCCCTCAAGCTCAGAACATCGTCTCTTTTCTGAAAGCAATGCTTTATTGCTTTGGGCAAGTTCTACTCTCTGGTATTTTGCAGTGAGTTCGTTGTTTTCCAGAATGCTTTTATCGCTCTGAAGTTTCTCCACCTCCATCTCAAGGACATGGATTTTCTGCTGTAAGTTACCCTCTCGTTGACTCAGTGTCGCTTCCAGGTCCTTGCTCATCTCTCTCAACTGTGCGCATTTTTCTTTGTAGTACGGCAGCTGTATACTCAGGATGTCTTTCTGTTTCGTCACCAGCTGCAGTTGCTCCTCCCGTTCAAAGAAACATTCTTGGTCAGCCTTCCAGGTTTCACTAAATGCTGTTACTATCTGGTGCTGCTTTCTCAGTTTACGTAGTTCCTTCTTGAGGACCTTATTTTCTTCCTCATTGGACTTGTATATAGTTATTTGTGCATTAAGCTTAGTATTCTCTTTTTCAACCTTTTCCATGTAATCTAGTTGCGAGTTGAGATATTTAATCAAATGTTCTTGCCGTTCTAGCCGAGGATACTCTCTTAGGGCTGCAAATGTAGCTTCATTCATTTTGTTAAGCTTTTCTTCATTCGTTTTATCCATCTTGACCTTTTCAGACGATTGATTCTTCTGTGTGTCCATCTGAGTGCTTGGATTTTTAAGTTTAAGCTGTGTGCTGCTAACAACTGAGAAGATATTCAAATCACTCATCACAGTGTAGTGTTCATTCAAAAAAGTGTTGGAAGCCAGATGGGTTCTATATACTAACAAAGCAACATTCACTGATGACATCATGATGGCTTTGAACCTGCCTTTGATCTATGTTCATTTTGTGATGTCACTGATGGAATCACATCATTAATTATGGCTTTGATCTGGATTATCAATGTATGTCAGGGTTCAGGGTTGGGAAGTAATGAAGTACATTTACTTGAGTGTACTTTTTTTGCTTTTTGGAAACTTGTCAAATATATAATATTTGGAATGTTAAATAAATAAAAATAAAAAAAAAAGTAAATTGCAATGGCTGTATTTCTGTTGATTCAATTGAGTATTTTATAGATAGATAGATAGATAGATAGATAGATAGATAGATAGATAGATAGATAGATAGATAGATAGATAGATAGATGGATACTTTATTTATCCCTTAGGGGAAATTCATGTGTCAATTAGCTCATTGTTGATAGTAATAATAATAATAATAATAATAATAACTAGAAAATTCCAGGGAAATTTTGAGTGCCACAGGGGCTACTGCCGGGATGAGTACATGATTTTTTTCCAGTGTTCAAAAGTCACCCTGATCATATTCTGGTTTTGAGAAATGTCTTGATATAAAAGACTCTGATATAAAACAATGTCACATCCCTCCATCATGTATTATGTGGGAAATATCTCATATTCTGTGTTGTTTTTTTTTTATAAAACAAGAGGCAACATGTCTTCAAACTGGCATTTAAAGGGTTAAAATCCTGAAAACTAATAAACATTTGGTAGGTTTGAGCAGAACTGAAGTGGTTTAAGAGATGTATGCAAAAAAAGCAGAAAAAAATATTGATATATGATGATTTTATAGCATTTTCTTTGTGTGTCCTTTTTTGGACGCGAGGAACCCCAGAGGGACAAAATGTGTTACCAGTGTATAATAGACCTGTAACAGTAACTGACATTAGATTTTAAAAATATGTCAAAAAAGACACTTTCTTGCAGAAATCCATACCTTCAGCTGTAACACAGCCAAAATGATCAGCAAATCAAAAAAGAAAAGTGAAGAAAATGTCCAAAAAAGGACAGAGGGACCCCTGAGGGTTAATAAATCCCATGAACCGCTATTTAAATTACCACTATTATGTTTTTTTTGGTGCTAAATTTAACATTACTGGGGAGGAGAGCAACGCGACTAGAAGTGACAGCGAGAGAGGGCTAGTAGCTTCTCCTCTCCTCTGTCTCAGCGGAGACCGTCACAACTTCATTCACTCATTTAACAAAACAAAAAGAAAAGCAACAAAGGAAGCATTTTGGCTGTGTTACAGCTTTGATACAGTATATGAGATGAAAATGTTCTGTTTCACTTCAATAATCAATGGCACAATTTACCCCAATGTAGTTTCTCCAAAGGCACAACTTACCCCACACCGGGGGCAAGTTGTGCCAAGAGACAACTTTTTTTTGAAAAGCCATATTTTTCAAACAGTTTATTCAATAGCCAAAGTTATTGTTCCCAGTGATGCACAACATCCTGAAAAATATACATATATATGTACATGTACATATTCAAGTTGGAGGCATTACTGTCATGCCCAAGCGGAAATGAAACATGCATGTTTTTGGCACTAGTAGTGAGGAAATTTATTAGAAAAACCACCTTGCCTAAAATCTGACATTAAAAATTGTGAAAACCACAAATATGACTAATTTATTTTCATAATTTCTAATTGCTAGCTAACTAACGAGCAGCCATTTTGACGTGACGTCATTGCCTACGTAACGGGGTTGGTTGGGTGCGTTGGCCAGTGAAGACAGTGAAGCATTTCTGAACCGAGTTAAACTGGAAATGGAGGACGACGAGGTTGAAAGGACTGTTGAGGCCGTGATTAGTCCGATTGCGTATGCGTTCGAGCCCATACGGCAGAGCAGTGATAGTGTTGCCGGTGGAAGAAGTCGTGGAGCCGGTCGTTTGGGGTGAAGAGCGGTTCAGCAACACTACCTGGTGTCGGTGTGGTGGTTGTCCGCCGATGCCCACCGTGTCAGAGTCCATCTGCTGTCAGGAGGCTGGTCTGGAGCACGTTTTGCGTGGTCATTCCTGCATCACCATGGAGCGTACATTCAGCATACTATTCCGGGAGGTGGGAAGTGGGAGCTCCCAGGCTCAGTAGCATGTCTTATAAAGTTAAATGAAAACTTAAACAAATAAATAGCTCTCTAAAGTTTTCTACAGTAAATAAAGTTTTCCAAAATTTCAATATAACTGAAATATTAATCTTTCACTTATCTTTGTTTTAAGTTCAAACAAAAACAAAAAGTGCAAGGAGATCCCAGGGTCTGCAGCATCTCTTATAAAGTTAACTGAAAATTTAAATAAATAAATAAATAGTTCCCTGAAGTTTTATAAAGTAAATTAAACAAGTTAGATAAAAATTTGCACAGAAATGTGAGTCTAAAATCAGTTAGTAGTCCCAATTGAGCAGCACCAGATTGTGGTGCAAAAAGCAGAGTTGTTCAGCGTGCTCTCCAGTGAGACGGCTTCTTTTGCTCTCATAAATTGCAGAGACTTCACTGAAGACGCGCTCACTTGGGACTGATGAGGGTGGTGCACAAAGAAACTTTCTTGCTTGTTTCGCAAGTAGCTTGAAGCGCCCTTCATTCTGTCTCCACCACTGGAGTGGGTCCCCTTTACGCCTGTCGATCACTGGCTCCTTGAGATACAGATGTACCTCATCCTCAATGCAGCTACTGGCCAGCAGGTCACCAGCGTGAGGTGCCAGCAGAGAACTGAACATCTCATCAACATGGCTGCGGAAGGATGCGTGTTCTCTCCGTTGCCTTTTGTGGGTGTTTCCGTCATTCTCACGTGTCCCATATGCAGCTGCCTGCTCCTCCGTACTGGCTCTTTCTGTGGCAACCTGCTCCTCCATAGTGGCTCCTTCTGTGGCAGCATGCTCCTCTTGAGTGGTCTGTTGTGTGGCAGCGTCCTCTTCCTCTTTCAACCATCCTTTGGCCTTGCTCAATGTCGTGGGAGAGGAGAATGCATGACTCTTATAACGAGGATCTAAGAGACAGGCCAGCACCACAGTTTTTGTGTCTTCTACTTTTGAGAAACGCTTGTCGAGGCTCTCCCTCATGGCTTGCCTGAGCGTTCTGATGCCTTTTGTGGAGGGCCCCTCATCATCTTCAAGAAGCATCTTCAGCACAGTCAGGCATGGAATGATGCAGGATGCTGATGAGTTGCTGTGGCTCACCTGAAGTGTCACTTCCTTTATTGGGAGAAGAGTTTCAATTAAATTGGACACAAGGTCCCACTGGTGAGCAGTGGGGCCTGCAAATCCTCCATGTTCACCACAGTAGATGGTAAGTGCACGCTTTTATTCCAGCATTCTTTGCAGCATGTGGAGCGTTGAGTTCCACCTCGTTGGAACAGCCTGGATTATGTTGTGCTCTGGCAGGCCAAGTTCCCTCTGAATGTCTCGCAAGCGCTGTTTGCCCAGAATGGAGTGGTGGAAATGTGTGGCACACTTCTTAAGTATTGCAATGACATCTGTGACGGCTCTTTGACTTGCCCGACCGTCATTCACCACAAGTTGCAAGGTGTGGGCTGTGCAGCTGAGGTCTGGGAGTTCAGCGAGCCTCATTCCCTTCACAATATTTGCTCCGCTGTCTCGAAGCACTAGTGCTACACGGTCTTTACTTATCTTCCAGTCCTCTCAAGCATATTGAGGAATGTCTCTTTCAGGTATTCCCCAGTGTGGGACCCATGCATCGCTCTTGTATTTAAGATGACCTGCTTTCTTGTCCATTCAGCGCCGATGAAATGGCATGTCAGGCTCATGAGAGACTCTGTCACACCAGACCAGCAGTCTGTGGTGAAGGAGAGAGAGTAGCCAGCATTCTCTGGTTGAATCAGCGCTTTGATCTTTTCCACAATCTTGTGGTGAACTTCTTGCAGCTTCTCAGTTCGGTAATACTTTTCACTTTTCAGTGCATATCGTGGCTCTGCTGTAGCCATGAGGCGCTTAAAGCCAACATCTGACACCACCGTGAACGGTTGGTTGTCAGTGACTATCATCTCTATGACTAGTTTGTCCATTAGTTTCGACCTGTCATCTGAACTTGTCCACTTTCTTTGTTTCTGAAACATGTCCTCTATTGTTGGCTGAGATGAAGTTGCCTCATCCTGATGAGATTCAGATTCCTGTTTCTTCTGTGCTGTTTCATACAACTCAGGGTGATGAATCCTAAGATGGGACCACAGATTTGAAGTATTTTTGTTTTTCCCTGTTGTTGCTCCCATGCTGACACCTTCATTGCATGTATTACAGACTGCCTTCTCTGGTGTTGGTTGAGTGTAATACTTCCATACTGCACTTTTAAACTTAAGTCTATCCATCTGCAATAAGGGTTTGAAAAAAAGAGAGAGAGTTAAAAGTGGGGCCACATGCTGACATATGCTCAACTCATCATGTTTAATTTATAACAGCATTTGGGAAGCCTGTAGTTGATTTCTATTATGTAAATGTTATATTTGGACCCTGCCATTCAAAACTAGGCTGCTACATTACTAACGATTAATGTAACTATAGCTGAAAAAATAGTACAATAGCAATAAGAGAGACTCTTCATCCCTGAACACCATGCAGTTCATGTAGGCTTTATGATGCAGTTACATTATGTCTTAAGTCTTGAACAGCAATATCCTGCTCCTCTCTACAAGAAACTATCAAAGACAGCTTCAGGACACACTTCATCTAACAATATGTCATTTTCTGCTGCTTGGGATCTCTCAATCAACACAGAAAAAGGTAAAGTACTTGGTAGTTAAACAGCCATTATTACCCTACAGTTTTCTCTCAGACAGACGGTACTTGCTGTCAGTTTCTGCAGCTTCTCATGTGGCTTACACAAACACTGTACTTAAAGACGAGAAAAATGGAACCGATCTAATCTCCACTCTCTCCGACGTCCAACTGGGGGCATCTACGATGGCTAGACGAGTGTCAGCTATGTCTGGTAACTTGGCCGATCAGCTGGACTGGGATCTGGCGAAGTGCAGGTGGTTTAGCATCCAGCGCGACGAGTCCGTGGACAGCAGCAGTACAGAGCAGCTGTTGATTTTTATCCAGATGGTGTTTGAAGATTGCTCCACAAGAGAAGAACTCCTGACACTACTAACCTTAAAGACAACCACGAGGGGAGCTGACATTTATAAAACGGTGAAGGAGTTTTTCGTACAGAAAAAGGTACCATTGGAAAAGCTGGTAGCAGTGACTAGAGACGGGGCTCCTGCTATGATCGGCCGACATACAGGTTTCATCGCGCACTGTAAAGGTGACCCAGACTTCCCAAAATTTCTGCATTACCACTGCATCATTCACCAGCAGGCGTTATGTGCAAAAGTGATCGGCTTTGAGCATGTAATGACTCCCGTTGTGAAAATCATAAACAACATCTGCTCCAAAGCAAAACGGCACAGGATTTTCAAGGTGCTATTGGAGGAGATGTCAGCTGAATATGGTGACCTGCTGCTACACACCGAAATCCGATGGCTCAGCAGAGGACGAGTTTTACTTCGTTTTTTGTCACTTTTGGGTGAAATCAAAGAGTTCATGCAGTCCCGAGGCGAAGACGTCTCACTGCTAGAGGACACAGAGTGGACACTTGACCTTGCATTTTTGACGGACATTACTGGGAAACTAAACCACTTGAACTGCAAGCTGCAAGGCAAAGATAAGACTGTTGTTGATATGATAAGTGCTTTAAATTCATTTAAAGCCAAGATGAACATTTTCACATTTCACTTACAGAGAAAAAAGGTGCTGCACTTTCCCTCTGTGCAGTCGGTGCTGAAAGACAATGCTTCTGCATCTGAGACATTTGACAAAGTTGCAGAAAAGTACTGTGAAGTCATAAACAGACTTGGGCAAGAGTTTGAGAATAGGTTTTGTGGCCTTGATCAGCTTGAGCCATGTGTGTCATTCATTTCCAATCCTTTCATGAATGTGGACACAACATGCTTTGCTGAGCAACTGAGTGCAACATTCAACTTGGATGCTGGACAGGTGGAGATTGAAATCATAACTGCAAAATGACCTCCACCTCAAAGCCCACCAGGCTGCACCAAACTTTTGGTGCCTTGTTGACACAGAGAAGTACAGTGGTGTATGCACAGCAGCTATGAAGGTTGCCAGCCTGTTTGGTTCAACCTATCTCTGTGAATCAGTGTTTTCTGACATGAACTTCATCAAGAACAAACACAGAACACGCCTCACTGATGCACATCTGAAAGACTCACTCACAGTTGCAGTGTCAAGTTACACACCAGATTACAGTACACTGGTGAACATGCAATGCCAGTCTTCCCACTAACAAAGAAACAGACACCAGATGTTGTCAGTAGCAACATGGCAGTGCCATGGCAAATTTGAATTAAAATATTGAAGAATTGTATTCAATTTAAAAGTGTGTTCATGACATGTAAGTTATAATTTTGTTAAAAATGCCGCAGATTTGGTCATTAGTTCAAAATGTGACAAGATTTATTTAAAAATATGTAAGTTGATTTTTCTTTAACACCGATAATCAGTCGATCCCTAGTATGAATACATGTGGAATAAATGTATGAATAAAAAGTTAATGCATGCACACTTACTCTGAGCCACAGAAGTTTAATAATATCGAACAGACATTTTATATACAAACATATCAGATTTGTCATTCCATATATCAGATTATATTGAAAGCTAACTAATACATTTCATCAGTCTCTTTAGGTTGAGTGCATACAGGCAGTTTACCTTTTGGGCCAGGGGCCATTTGGGGAAGAAGAACCGGATCCCGATTCCAGCCTGTGTCGTCAGCGCCATTAGGGCTGTTAGGCTGCGGAATATCGTGGCTTTGAGTACGCCTACATTTATGATGATTTTTAAGTGTTAGATATGATTTACTTTAATATTTTATGAATTGTTTTTATTTTGTTGTTTTGTTGTTCTAATAAATATTTGAAGGTTTACTATCATTTTAAAAAATTATAATTATTATAGTGATTTAATGACGAGCTTCTCTGACACTGAACTGAGCTCAGACTTGCGCTAATATTATTATTGTGGGAATTTCACACTCATCAATGCTGCCTCCAAAGAAAGACTTATTCCAGGTGGGATAGAGAGACTGAACTATATAATATAATATATAATATACATAGGTGATTTGAACAGTAAACAGAGATTGGAGACTGGATTAGAATCTGAAAAAAGAATCTAAAAATACAAATTTAATACAACAACAATAACAATGCTTGTTAAATCAAAAGAACACTCTACAGGGTTCCTACAGTAATGGAAATCCATAGAACTCTGAATTTGAACATTTATTTTGTCAAAATTAATTGTGATATACAATCATGGAACAATTATGGGATTTCATTTTTCAAAATGTATAGGAACCCTGTGTGAGTGATTTCATCAGTCACTTTAACTGGTTAACAAATCATTTAGTGTTTTTTTTTTAGTGTTTTTCTTTCTGCTCTTCCTCTGAGCTGTGTTACGGGGCTGTGAGGATGCAAATCTGCTCAGATGTTTGGCAACAGACAGAGCTTTGTCTGGTTTTTCCACACCTTTGTCCTGGGCCAGGGTGATAAGAGTCTCAGTTTTCAGCTCCTGCAATGCTGCCCGGATGGATGTTGAGTTGCACCTTTTGATCACTCCTGCCACAATGTTCTTCCTGAAGGTATAATCCTTGTCCACCTTCAGTGGGGTCACCACATACTGTTGAGCAGCCTTGGAGTACTGGTGCTTATGTTGCTCCTCACCTTCCTTTGTTGTAGCTATCTCCCTGTTCACGTTATTGTTGTGATCCAGTGCAGCAACACGCAGACGTGCCTCCAAACTCTCCCTCAGAAATTTTTTTCTTTTTGTGGCGTACTTTGTGTACAGGGAGTGGAGACTTTCCAGCTGTCCCGTGTGAATGCCCAGTGTAGTCTTTTCCAGTTTCTTCAGGAGCTGTTTGTCAAGCACTATCTTCTGCAGGTGCTGAAAGGCAGCAGAGCTAGGGAGGAGCCATGGACGCTGACTCTGTTCTTCAGGAGTGTAGGTAGGGTGCTCACACTTGGTCATTGTCTCACCAGACACCCAGTGGTGCACATTTGTAATGTGATGCAGGATTGAGATCCACTTCTCTTTTAACTTTGTCACACTTCCCTCACATGTTGTGACACAAAACCAGAAGTGATTTGTGATCATTCTGATCCACTCAAACAAGTCCTCGTTGTGGCACTGCAGCAGTCGTTTTTTGACGGACTTCACGATGTGCCAGAGGTCATACTCATGCTGTATGCTTTTATGTTCCAGACGCATGACTTTCTGCACAGATGGGTGGCAGTCGGTTGCCAGAACAGATATGGTAATATCATACTCTCCCAACTTGGAAAGGCACCTCTCCAGACCATCCACCTCAAGCCAATAGCTGTTCTTCACCTCTGTGACTTTTACAGTTTCCTGTGCCACCACCAACTTTGACTTGATGTCGATGAGCGAGTAGGTTCCATATGAAGCATTGTGACCCGGGCTATCATATCTGGAGTCTCCTGACACGATTAGCGGCTCATCGCATAAGGCATTCAGTACAGCCTCATTGTGTACTGTCCAGGCACTGCTGACCCCTGGGATGACATAGGCCTTCTGTATGTTGAACCACTGTCTTATTGAGATGGTTTCCAGACCAATGGTGTCACACACCTCCATGAATGGACTGCACTTGTTTTTCCAGTGACAAATACAGCAGCAGGGACAGAAACATTGCATTCCATTATTCCTCTAACTAAAGGCTGGGAATGCTACATATAATCATGGCCATCAATGCATTCTGTCGTAATCCTAAGCCCAAATCCACTTTTGATCACTGTCGGTGGCCTGCAGTCCTGGACATGTACTGGCTTAAGCAGGGGGACACGTCTGGCACTGCAGGATTTGAGTCCCTGGCGGCGTAGTGTGTTACTGATGGTAGCCTTTGTTACTTTGGTCCCAGCTCTCTGCAGGTCATTCACTAGGTCCCCCTGTGTGGTTCTGGGATTTTTGCTCACCGTTCTTGTGATCATTTTGACCCCACGGGGTGAGATCTTGCGTGGAGCCCCAGATCACATTTCTTGTAGAAGCCAGAAACAAATGTCACTAGTGTGTTTTCATCACTGACCTGACATCTTTTCTCTCTAGTGCCTATTTTTCCACCTGCCTTGCACTAATATACAGTGTATTATAGTATATTATAGTATATTAACATCAGTACATAGTGTATAATCAGTTAATAGTATATTATGGTTATAGGCTAACTAGTAGTGATTTATGTCAAGTGGCTGCTTTTAATTTTTAATATCCTCTCGGGATTAAAACCGTTATCTATCTCTCTTTCTAACCCTAACCCATCCATAGGTACATAGTTACTAGAACTAGTTTTTATAGTCATCTGTCATGAAGTGGCGTTATTGCAGTCCAGGACCAAAAGAGGGCTCCAGTGCAATTTGCATAGTATTTAAAATACGTAAATTTCAGTAAAAGGCGAAACATTTCCTTATGCATAAGTATATTATTTTGCCTACTGTCACTACTATTGGTTCATATTGCTGATTTATTATTGTTATGGTCATGTTGGTCATGAATAAAACCAGTGCAGTAGCGAGGAGGCAGAGCGGACATCAGCCAATCAAAAATGCTTATTTTGTTGCGAGCCAATTCCAGTGTGGTTAAAAAAAAAACAAAAACAAAAAACAAGTCAGGTCTCCAGCGGTTTCCTGGGTGGACGGTCAGACACTTTAGGTTGAAAAAAGTAAGAATTGCTCCAAAAGTTAATTATTGTGCGTTTATGTTGGTTCGTGGTGGGTACGATATTTTTTTTTAAATTTGCCACTACACATGTGTGACGGCTTTTCGGCAGTCGGGCCATGTGAAGGAAAAGATAGCAAAAAAACTTTATTGCACGCATTGCAAGAAGAAACAAGATAATGGTGAGGAAGATAACGGAACTTTGGATAACGTCTGTGGATTATAACGTTTGGAGTATAAAGTCTGGAGTGTCTGAAGTTACCGACTATTGGAAACGGAGTCATGTACCATGTATGGTGTGTTTTTAGGTGAATACTTTCAGGCCCGAGCATTTTTAATGGTTGTGGTTTTAATTTCTGAGAGTCATTTTGGCTGTTATATTGTACAGCCAAACTCTCATCAGTTCATGCTGCAGAGATACTATGGAAATCTTTAGGCTAGGTGACGTGCGTCGGACTGTGTGTCAGGGTGAGGGGACATAAGGTGTTCATGAGTGCTGCTGTTTGGAGTGAAAGAAGTGTTCAGTGAGAGCTAGAGAGACTTTATGGAACTTTATTGCAGTCAATGATGATGTTCATCTCAAACAGATACCAGTACCTGCCGACTTATGTGGGTTGCTAAATGCCCTTCCTGGCTAGCGCGGTTTAGCGCCCTTTCCCTACGGCGGACTGATGCCTCTGCACTGCTGTTGTCAGAGTATTTAGGCCGGTCAGTAGAGTACATATTATAGGTGGTGAAATTGAAAACAGACGGAGCAACTTCAGGCTTTAGTCCAGGCATCACCAAATGGCGGACCGCGGTCCGGGCACGGACCCAGTGACGGTTCTTCCCGGACCCGTGAAAATTATATTATAATTATAATATTGGGCCTAATAAAAAGATAAATCATTCATGCATGCGCAGCTAATTTAGTTAATACGACAGAAACGTCATCAATAGCCAAGCCAATGAAATCGATTGTTTACCTTTCAGCGCCAGAGAATAGAGAGAGAGAGAGAGAGAGAGAGAGAGAGGGAGAGAGAGGGGAGATGAGTGAAAATGGCTTGCTCAAAAATGAGAAAAGTAGATAGTGAAAACCGAACTTTTAAAGATGAATGGACGGACCAATACATGTTTGTTCTGCCTGCAGCCAGTTCTAAACCTGTGTGTCTCATATGCTGTGAAACTGTGGCGTTAATAAAAAGTAGCAACATTAAGCGTCATTATGAGACCAAACACGGATCGTTTGATGAAACATACCCGCAGAAGTCCGCAGTGAGGGCAAGTAAAATTATCGAACTGAAAGCACAGTATGACCGGTCTACCCGTGTCCTCACATGCATTTACAGGCCAGCAACGTGCAGATGAGTGTTCACTTAAGATTGCGTGGATTTTGGCGCAACACAAGAAAGCATTCAGCGATGGGACAGTGGTGAAGGAGTGCTTAAATGCGGCTGCAGAGACTTTACTTGACGGTAAACAAAAAAACGACGTGTGGAAAAAATCAAGCAAATCCCATTGTCAGCTTCAACAACAACCAGAAAATCTGAACTATTAGCAGAGGATGTACTGGCACAGCTTGATGCAGCTGTTCAAAACGCAGTATGCATATCCTTAGCCATTGATGAGTCCACATATGTAACAGATAATGCCCGGCTTTTGGTGTATGTGAGATTTCTTCACAAAGAGAAGAAAGAGATGTGTGAGGACCTGTTGGGTTTAATGCCACTTGAGACACACACAAGAGGAGAGGATATATATGAGGGGATAAAGGAGATGCTCACAAAAAGAAAGATTAATCTGAAGCAAGTAGTCTCAGTAACCATGGATGGTGCACCTGCCATGGTTGGTAGAGAGAAGGGGGCTGTGGCACGGATGAAACAAGACAACCCTGATCTCATAGCCTACCACTGTATCATCCATCAGACTGTTCTCTGTGCCATTCTGTCTGAAGAGTTTGCTGAAGTAATGAATACCATGATGAGACTCATCAACTTCCTCAGGGCATCCTCATCCCATCAGCATCGACTGCTGAGAGAATTTCTGAAAGAAATGGAGGCAGATGCAAATGAACCACTACTCCACAACAACGTGAGATGGCTAAGCAAAGGGAATGCACTGGGATGCTTCTGGTCCATCCGAAAGGAAATAGCTGCTTTCTTACAGCAGCTCAAGAGACAAAAAGCAACACAGTTTGCAAACTTTTTGCAAGCTAACAACAGAACACTACTATGCGTTTTCAAACACAATCAAAACATTACTTACACTGAAATGACCCAACACGTCCTCGGCTCTGGAGTGACCCATGAACTCTGACCCATTGTAGCGGGAGATGACATGGTGTGTTCCCGTCTCATCATCAGTAGTCCAGAACCGCAAATGAATGTCAATTTGTTTGCTCTTTGTCGTTTTATTCATGCTTTCGTCAAACATGATTACATATGGCTTCTCACTAACGCTGTGTGATAACTCCTTCTTGATGAATGAAGCTATGCCATATTTGGCGAGATACGCCGTTTTATTTTCACCACAGGTGAATGACTTTGCAAGCTGGGAATCGGGGAACATGGTAGCAAAGACGCCACTTATTTCCTCATTAGATTTAAATGATTTATGCCTCATCACAGTATGGAGAACCCACAGTACCTCTGCCTTTTGGGTCTCTGGTGGTAAAATGAAGCTTTTCAAAGCCGACTGAGAGGTGGCATCTGAATTTGTATCTTTAGCTCGTGCTCCGAACAATGCAGGGATTAGCCTGGCCCCGCTGTGGCTAGCTGCCGCTGCATACCGCTGGTGCTCAACTCCTCTCATATGCGCCTCCACTGCTTTGACACCCATGGTCCCTAAGGAAAAAGTCTTTTTACAAAATTTGCACGTTGCCTTATTGTTATTTTCAGCGGGGGCCAACCACTTCCTAAATGAATCCTCCTCCATCCATTTGTAATTAGTGCCACGGGTGCTCAGCTCCGAGGCGCTTCTCTACAGCTAGAATAGCTGAGAGGAGTGCCTCTAATATTCCTTCGGGCTTATTATTATTCTTTCACCAAATTTTGGCGCGTAACTCGTCCCGCAGCTTTGAGAAAACCCCGGTAATATATATATCAAAACGTGCGTCTTGATCCCGAAAGAGGTGCTATGACTTTTGGTGTTAAAATTCCAATTTTTCCCAAAGTTATTCCCAAAATACTGGGAATAAATAATGCATTAGGAATGCATTGGAATTTTCTTTAAAAACCCACAAAATTTCACCTTTTTTCTACAAAATTTCACCTTTTTTCTGAGTCACCCAGCTCTCTCATACCTGCACGTAGAAATGTGATTCAAACTATAAAACGGAGGAAAACTTCTGCTCTCTCCAAAACACGGCAACTGTTTTTACATAACATGTAAACTTTTCAAACTATGAGCACTCAAAGGAGGAGTGGAAATCACTTTTTCTTCAAAGTTAGAGTGACAGCGTCAGTTGGCTAGAGTGCGTGAAGCAGTAAAAAATAACCTTTATTTTTATTTTTATTTTTATTTTTAACTCGAGCTCACGGCCAAACCGTAAAAAGGAGACAAATAATTCTTTCTGAAAATGTAGATATAGTTGTTGGGATTCATAAAATGTAACTTTGACAGGCAGGGTCTGCACAAAATTTAAACGGGGGTGCCGAGTCCGGCAGCAATACCTGTCTCACTCTCATTGACACCTAATGTAATCGTCTTTTTTTTTTTCAAAAGAATCTCACTCTGTCTTCGCACTGAGCTTACTCACTCATTTTAAGGAATATCTGAATAAAATAGAGACTGTAAGAAACTTCTGGCTTCAGTGTCTGTCACGGTGTTTTCGGTTTTTGAAAAGAAGTAACGGTTTTCTCATAATTTGCAATTGTTTTAAGCCATGTAGAAGCCAAATTCTGGGCAGATTTTCACATTGCCATGGCAACGGCAGCTCCTGACCTGTG